TATATATATATATGGTACCTCCTCAAGGTTGCTTTACACTCCTCCTTCTGCTCCCGGGAGAGACCATATCCCTGCCCTGAGGACATAGGACACTTCTTTGTTCAATGACTTGACTTGAAGTCACCCTGCAGCCTCCAGGCAGAGGCCTGAGTAGCTACTACACGGTTCCACCATGACTTTGACTTTGTCTCCTGCCAAGATGTTCACATACAACCCAAATCCCAGAATGAAACACACACATATATCAGAATTGCAGTAACTGCTGCGGAAATCAGATAAAGAAATCCTTATTGTTGTAATTCACTAAGATATAGGGGATGTGTTACAACATAAATCAGCAACAGAGTGTGCTGTGTATGTGCTTTTGACAAGGCTGTACCAAATCTAGGACATCCTTGGGGAACTTTTCTCCAGCATAAACAGATAATTACAAAAACTGAACGCAACTGGAGTACGCACAGTGAGCATCTTAGTTTAATTGCTATAAAAGAATATTATACTGTAGCTGGATGTCTTAACAACACAGCCTTATTCCTCACAGTTACTGAATCTAGGAAGTCCAAGATCAAGGCCTGGCATGTCCAGAGTCTGGTGAAGGCCTCATTCTAGTTTACCCTTGGTGATGTTCCAGCCCCAGTGCCACCATGCTGGGGGTTAGGATGTAAACGGCAGGGCAGGCGTGGATGGGACACAGAGATATTCAGTCTCTCGCAATCAGGAAACACGTGTGTAAAAGTGATGGAAAACTAAATCTTTACAGGTAAAGTAGGTCCACATGTGTCCACAAGATTAGAACTCAGAAATAATCACAGACAATAGAAGGTTGGCATGGTGGGTAGCCTAGGAAGAATGGACTGTAGTAGGAAGCTAGACATTAACTTTTCCAAAGGCTTCATTGCTGAGGCCTGGTACTTGTGAAGCAGGACCACCTCTAGTGTTTGAGCCACACCCCCAGTCCTCTTTTGCCTTATTTTTTCGGATAGGGTCTTGTGCTTTTGCCTGAGACCCACCTTGGAATGTGATCCTCCTATGTATTCCTTCCACATAGCTGGGACAGCAGGCGTGACTGCCATGCTCTGCTTGTTAGTTGTGATTGTATCTTGGTAATTTTTTGTTGAGTTGAGCCTTGGATCTTTATCCTCCTGATTTCTGCCCCCCAAAGCTGGGATTATAGGCTTAAGTACTTCATGTTCAAGTTGTGGAGAACAGACCAAGAGAGGTAAAATAGCAGGGAACATTTTCATCTCTGTTTACTTCTGGACTTGATTCCTATAGTCCTTGCCTTGAGGTCTGAGACGTGTACTTTCTGATATTGACACAATGGGTGAGCCATTCCTCAATGGTAGAGAAAGCTGAATGACACTTGGTTGCTTATGGCGTCCTCTAGGGACTGGAGGACCATCTTCAAGGCTGTGTGCGTGTGGATACGGGTAGACTGGGTATCTTTTTACCAATTAGCTGCAAGCCTGTCTTTTAGGGTAGACTTGTCAGATAAAACTAGCTTTTAAGAAAGCTCCTGGGGCTGGGAAGATAGCTCAGTGGTAGAGTGCATGCCTTGCAAGCATGAGGCCCTGGGTTCGATTCCTTAGCACCACATAAACAGAAAAAGCCGGAAGTGGCGCTGTGGCTCCAGTAGTAGAGAGCGCTAGCCTTGAGCTGAAGAGCTGAGGGACAGCGCCCAGACCAGAGTTCAGGCCCCATGACCAGCAAAAAAAAAGAAAAAAGAAAAGCTCCTTACAACTTAAAAAAATTAAACTGAGTGATGTTGAAGATGACTGGTGCAAGAGCTGTGGGTCGATTTAACTTTGCTCTGATAATAATGCAGATAATTTTCAAACCAGGGAGAACCACAGTCATCTAGTGCGGCACTGTCTTTCACAAAGAAGTTTCCAGGCAGAGACAGGTGAGCTGTGAACAGCACAGTCTGCTGCCAGGAGGGCCGCCTCCCGAGCCTGAGCGCGCCTTAAACCCTGTCCTTCGTGCAGAAAGCTTGTGAGGCTGCAGAGTTAGGGGGTGGATTAGCAGAAGAGGAGAAAAGCTGGCGATGGGAGCTTAACCCTGATTGATTAAGTAATCGGAGGGAAAGCCCTAGAGGGGAACCCTCCCTGTGGATCAATTTCTACACCCCTGCTACCCTCCCCGGCTTGAAAGGCGTAAATCTCCCTTGAACCACTTCCCTAGCTCAGGGTAATAAAGAGGTCACATTATATCTCCATAAATCTCCCTGCTGGCTGTGCTGGCTGGCTGGTTGCTGCCTTTCCCTTCGAGAAGGGGAAATTGCTTCCTTGTGACCCTGGCCATGGGCCCATGAGGAAAAGCCTTTCCCCAGACCCATTGTCTCGGCCCCAAGGGAGCTGCCCTGGCAATTTGTTCCATGTTTCCGTCCACCCTGCCAGCCTGCAGCTTGCCGGATAGGCTTTCAGGGAAGCACATGGGTCTGGCCAGAACCTCCCCTGGCAAATTCCCTTTTGGGGGCCAACTAAAGCAAAGGAGCTAGGTGTGCTGCAGGTGTGCGGCTGGGTATGAGAGGCCAAGCAGGGCTGGTGCAGGGTGGCTGGGGTGCAGCCAGGGTCCAGGGAAGGGTGGCAGGTGCCGGCTGCACAGTGGGACAAACGGGGTGCATTTCCTCACTTGGGAGCCAGGTTGCTTCTGTGAGTGAGGTGAGGCTCTTCCGGAAAGCGCTATAGATGGAAGCTGCCCAGCACGTCTATTCGTCTGCTCGTTCCCACACGGGCCGTGAAACTGCCACTTTTGCTAGGAGCCACTCTGCCGCTTGAGCTGTCTTTTAGCCCTTGTGTTTTGTTTCAGACATAGAATCTTGCAAACTATCGGGGTCAGCCCTGAACTCAAGATCCTCACGTAGCTGAGATTACAGGCAGGTGCTACCACATTCAACTAAAACCTGCCTGGCTTTAGGTTAAGGATTTTACTACAGGAAACAGTTGACAGTGGTCCACAGGAAATAATCACATAGTACTACAAGGGTTACATCAAGGCAGGTAGTGAAAAAAAATTCCCCAGCTCTGATCTCCAGAATGCCTCTCAGGAAGCAGCTAGCAGTATCAGCAGTCTGTCTTCATAGAGATACTTTATACACAAAGGATCCCACAAGCCTACCCTTCCTCCCTTCTTTTTGTAAGAGGTATCGTCTGTATCGGTCCTTACTTTGCTCCAGGTGTTACATCGTGTCTGTTGGAAAGGCTTTCCTATCAGTAATAGAGACCACCTCTGTTCTTGGCTGTGTAGTACACCCTCACTGACCCTGCCAGTTCACACTGGAGAACATTTCAGTTGCTTGCCACAACTGTCCCAGTAGGTCTCCTGCTGCCCAGGCCCTCTGTACACGCGCCAACACCTCTGTGGGCTAGATTCCTGGCGTGGAATTTGTGGATCCACTACACAGGCTTTTGACGAGCTATGGCCAGGTGCCTTTCCTGCGAGCTGCGCTGTGTCACATCCCTCACGCCCAGGACGCTCGGCCCCCACCCCCACCCTGGGCATCGTGAGATGGGGCAGGCTGGGAGGAGGGCTGGCAAGGATGCCAGCACAGCCTGGTGACAGGAGGCGCAAGCACCGTGCTGGACTTCGCCCACGGGGTGGTTGGCAGGAGCGTTTGATCTCTTCCCACGTGTGCTGGGATTGCACCCAGGGGAGAGACTTCCCTCTTCCTTCCGATGTCACCCTGCCAGATGGGGTGGCACCTGGGCCCAGGGTGCAAAAGGTGTTGTGTGGAGTCTTTGGGACTATTTTGAAATGAAATGCTGTCAGGAAACTGAAGGTGGGGGTGAAGGAAGAAACATCTCTAATGCTCCAAGTCCTAGGCCAAGATTCTTGTTTTATTAACTATTTATTTAATTTAAAAATGCTTTAGAAAAAATGTTAACATTTAGTCCAATTTGAGTTTAAAAACTCAAATTTCTAGCTAGACGCCAATGGCTCATACCTGTAAGCCCAGCTACTCAGGGGGCTGAGGATTGCTGTTTGAAGCCAGTCTAGGAGGGAAAGTCAGAGAGACTCTCATCTCCAGTTAACCACCAAACATCCTGAAGTGGAGCTCCAGCCTTGAGGGAAAAGGCTGAGGAAGAGCTCCCTGGTCCTGAGTTCAAACCTGGGCACCGGCACCAAAAACCAAACCAAACCAACAGACACAAATTCTCAATGACAAAAGCAAACTAGGAAAGAATGTATTCTATTGGATTCTTAGAGTGACTTGACTTTGGCGGGGTGTGCTGGTGATTAGTGCTACCCTCTGTACACACACGTGTGCCACTGGCAAACCTTGGCCCGGCAAACATAGCTACGAGGTGTGTGCATCACGAATCCATCTCTGCATTGGCCGGGAGCAGAGCTCTCAGATGCATCCTGTCTTGCCTGCGATTCTGCTGCTCACCAGACACTGTGGGGTGCAGAGCAGTGTACACTGAGTTCGCATGACCCAGCAGGGAGCTGTGTGCTGGGGGGGGGGGGAGAGGGTGGAGATCAGGGCACTGACCTTTGGGAGTGTCACTCTGGACTTGTTTTCCGCCTCCAAGTAGTCCCAGGTTGGACCCAGGACCGCTGGTCTTCAGGACCCTCAGGGCCTTAACTGGAAGGAGCTATACTC